TGCTGCATTTCTTGAAGGAGTTGTCTCCTGGCCCTCCTGCCTCCTAGTCATGCTCCCCACGCCCCCTCTCTACCCACTCACCACAAAGGTCAGGGCCTTTTAAACCTCCACTGAATAGAAACTACCACCAACTGGAGAGCCGGTGATAGGCCACAGGCGAGGTGGAGCTGGCTGCCAAAAGAAGACAAGCATGCCCGGTGCACCACCTTCCATCATCTCAGTCCTTCGAATCAGAACCCGTCAAAATCACACAACCCTCGAGTTGGAGTGGACCTCAGCAGTCATTGCACCCTTCCTCTTCCTAACCCACACCTCGTGGCCACCCACCTTCACCACATCCTCTCAAATCCCTGTCCTGCCAAGACAGAACCTCCCCAAACCTTTCCCAGATCAAATCTTTCCCTCTCTGCTCCATTAGAAACCTAACTTTTTTTTTTTTTTTTTTTTTTTTTCAGTCTCCCTCTGTCGCCCAGGCTGGAGTGCAGTCACACAATCTTGGCTCACTGTAACCTCCACCTCCCAGGTTAAGGTGATTCTCCTGCCTCAGCCTCCTGAGTAACTGGGATTACAGGTGTTCACCACCATGCCCAGCTAATTTTTGTATTTTTAGTAGAGAAAGAATTTCACCATGTTAGACAGTCTGGTCTTGCATTCCTGACCTCAGGTTGATTGGCCCACCTCAGCCTCCCAAAGTGCTGGGATTACAGGCATAAGCCACTGCACCAGGCCAGAAACCTAACTTTGCTTGGACCATTCTGCTCTGGCTCTTGTTCTCCCGTATTCACCAAGGGTCCTGCTCTTCCCACACCCAACAACGGAATGCATCGTTCATCCACCTCTTCTTTCCCATGAAGTCACCACCGCCTACCCTAACCCCCTCTAGCTGAGCCTTTTCTCCTTCCCTGGTTCCTCCCCTGCAGTCACTTTAAATACCTGCCCTGAGGATGCAATTCTAGGCTGCCGCGGACTATCCCTGTGGGAGCTCATTCATTCCCAGGGCTTTGACTCACCCTGGCCCACAGGACTCTAGGAAAGAAAACTAAACCTTCCTAGACTTTGCCTGTATGAGGAAAAGGCACAGAAGCCTGGCATGCTCCCAGCCTGCTCCTTCCACCTGGACCTGCTGGCCTGTGTGCCACTTCATTTGGCTGCTCCTGATTTGTATTCTTTAGAACACTACTAAAAATACAAAAAATTAGCTGGGCATGGTGGCGCGTGCCTGTAATCCCAGCTACTCAGGAGGCTGAGGCAGGAGAATTGCGTGAACCCAGGAGGCGGAGGTTACAGTGAGCCAAGACCGTGCATTGCACTCCAGCCTGGGTAGCAACAGCGAAACTCCGTCTCAAAAAAAAAAAAGAACACTAATTACATGATAATTTGTATATGTATAGCCCTCTTCTGAGTTCTTGAGTCATTCTAGCAAATTAGCAAACCTGAGGGGATCATGAGATTGCGGGAAACACCCAATGCAGTCAGTTGGTCAGAAGTGCGGGTGGCCTGGGGCTCCCCAGCACGTGGGGGCATGTGAAGTAAGGGCAGTCTTGTTGGAGACTATGCCCTCTAACTTGTGGGGTCTGCACCAACTCCAGGTGATGTCACAATCTAATTGCACTAGTTGTGTTTTTAGCAGAATAAAGTACCTACTATGTGCCAACAACTCAACTGAGAACTGCATACACTGTCATTAGAACCATGTCCTACCTGCCACATCCTGCAGTCAAGAATAAGGCACACGCCAATGTTGAAAATTCCTAAAAAATATCTGTTTTGAGTTCTAAACTTGAACAAATCTACACCTCCTGGTGTGGCTGAAGATTGCTTTAAGCTCAGTTCTTTCAAGCAGTGGTTCTTACTGACACCTTCCTGGAAGTGGCTGAAGTGAGTCTGTCACTTGAAATTAACTGCCTCCCTTCAAAACAGCTAAAACTTTGTGTGGACTTCCTCACTTTCAGCCAGTCCTCAGATGCCTGAGGTGTAGGAACTGAATTCCGACGTACGCAATAGAAACCCTCCCAGGGTCTCGCTGGCTTGACAGAGCTGTGTGACCACTGGTCAGCTGTGAAGCCAACTGCATGCCACCAGTGTTATCTTTCCATCTTGTAGGCAGGCATATTAATTTTTTAAAGCAGTAATCATTACACAGTTTTAAATAAATGTCCTCCTACGGAAAAGAAACAATCTTAATCCTGCCATTATGGTTGTAAACACAAGATTATTTCAGAACAATGTTTCATGTCATCTGAGAGCAAAATTTCAGCATCAAGCAAGTTCAACATGGCATTAAATGATAGTCTAAGAACTACTAGAATGACATGAAACATTACAGTTTCAATGTCTGATACTCAAATGAGTTTTCAGTGATGGGCTATGTGATGACCTCAAAGAAATACAAGTAGGACAGGCTCTGGGGGGCTTCTACTAAATATGCTCAAACCCACAAATGTTCCATTTGGGCTTTTGAAATTTCATTTCTCTCAATCCGCTTTGCAAATGCAAGACAGACCCAGACTCCAATATGGTCCTCTCACTTGACTATCACAGAGTCATTTTCAAAGTAGAGCTCCTCAGACCGTCCTGGCCACAGCAGGGATGTGCCCCTCTCCTCCCCCTCTAGAGATGGTGTGTGTGTGAGTGTGTGTGTGTGTGTGTACATACATGTAACTTGGAAATGAGATGACAAGCACCAATTGAATATGAAGGCCTAAAAGATCTTTTCCCTCTTCCCAGAGAATAAATGAATTGTATGTGGAATCTAAACAAAGCCATCAATTTTCAAGTTAGATTTAGAACAAACTGCCTCAAAAACGGAATCATTATCCTATCAACCAAATCACTCACACTTAAAGACTTTCAAAAATATCAATAATTTACTGAAAGCTAAGATGCAAAGCAAGTTCATGTGTGAAGTGAAAAAAGTTATTTAGTGTGACAAAAGTTGTCTTCTTAGAGACAGACACTTTATTCCTGTTTTAAAACAAGGATGATGAATACAGAGCAAGGAAATCATTCATGTTTTATTACAATGGGAATGTTTTTAATATGCTTTGAAAATATACTGAAATGTTTAGAAAAATCCAAACATTGGTCCTGTCATGTAAAAAAAGAATTCCCACAGAATTTGGCAGTCCTAGCTAGGTCAGCCCTAATGCACAAACACATGTCTCTTTAATTTTAGAAATATCAATGTGACGCAAATTCTGGGGGAACCAATGCAAATATTCAACAGGTCTATTGGATACCTGTTTATCTACATAAAGTTCCTACAATAAAATCCAGGAAGAGTTACCCGAGTTACCCTAACCTTGCATGATTCATGCAAGGAAATATGCAGACATCTCACATGTAAGGAGACATGTGTTGAAACAAGGCTCTGGGGAAGATCAGCAGCAAAAGTCTGTCTGCAGATGCTTGAGCAGTCACAATCCTCACTTAGCAGGCCAGCTTGGGCTCTTACTTGAGCGTCCCAAGGTGGGAGGCCAGGAAAGGAGAGCTGTACTGGAGGACCCTCGTGGTCATACCCTGCAACTGCCTCACTTTATTCAAAAGAAAACTACGTCCCACAGAAGTGGAAGGACTTTCCCTAATGTGGTCTAAATTTTCTGCTCAAAGGTACACTTCTAGTCAGCAAGAAGCCTGATTTTTAAAAGATATGCTATTCCCTATGTTTTCAGGGTCATGGACTCTTTGAGTGGGTCAAGGGCAGGCCTCTTTTGAGAGTCCTTGGGACTGTCCAAGATGGCTCTGCTGCCTCTCCGTCTGTCTCCAGGTATAGACCTAGGCTGAAATGCCAGCTCAGCTCTGGAGCTGCCAGAACTGAAGACCAAAGCATACAGCTGGAGACAGGGAGGGATGGAGAGGTCAGCAGGGCCCTGAGCAGTGGCCTGGTGCTCTGGAGATGTGTGTTAAATGTTGAGTAAAAATTTCCTGTTTGTCTTCTCCCATGATGCAATGTGACAAGACCCACCACACAGACGTCCATGAGTGCTTTGCCCCTCAGATGACTCCTGATATTCTTCGTATTCTGGCTCCCTCAGATTTATAGTATTGTCAGAATAAAAGTGATGAATCTAGTTCAGAATAGAGCCTCCATCCCATCAGAATTCTGAGCACAGAGATCCTGACTACGGTTGGGAAATATGCACAGAAGATAGGGCAAGCAGAGGCTGGCAGCCCGATGGAGCTGTGCTTCAGAGCCCAAGATTGATGAGATCAATTTTGGAGCCTTTCTGCCTTCATCTTTTAGAGTATAGCTGTCACTGAATTTTTTTTTTTTTTTTTTTTTGCCTCTGAGCCTCATGTTTCAAAGTCCATACTTCCGCAGTTATCACAGGCAACATTTTCTATAACCCACAGAAAATGAGTCACTTTATGATAAAGTAGCATTTTAGAACGTGTGGTCTACTTCAGGGCTAATTCAATTCAGCTGGTTGTTCAGGGAATAAAAACTTTAAGACAGTTATACTCAAAGTTAATAAATGCTTGAAATACCAGAAATCCAAGTTTATATTTTAGATATTAAATATATCGATAAAGCACTAAATGTATCAATACGCATTAATATGACTTGTCAATTTTTATATCATTATTAAATTTATCAATAAACATGATATATTTTAATATATTGGTCTTCTAGAGAAGGGAGCCAAAGGGTTCCAGCAAACAGATCCCTGGAAGTCAGGAGCCAGGTTTAGCTCTTACCACGGAATCCCCAATGGCCAACCCAGTAGCTGCCACATAGATGCTTGTGGGCTAAAAAGACAGGTGACAAAATGGAACAGCATGAGCATTTTCTAATCACCCTCGAAATCAGTTTCCACTTGATCTAACCAAAGAGCCTGTTGTGAAGGTTTAGTTAAATATTTCATCTCCTGAATACGGTATGATCTAGGATTTTACCCAATTTTGTCTTTTAAAGCTTTCTTCATTCAGTACACCATTATAAACAGGAGCATCATAAGAACAGTCCAGCAGGAACAAACGTGACCACTCACACTCCTCACCTGCCATGTCGATGGCAAAAGGCCTGTCCGCTCTCCAGCCGGTGTACCAGCCGACGACTTTGCCGTTTTCCACCAGCGGGCGTTCGTAGCGCCGCCCACCAACCAGGCCCACAGGCCAGACAGAGACCTTGCGAGTGGTTCGCATCTATAAAAAGGGAAAAGATACGTGTTTTAAGCTTCCTTAGGAAAAAGACAGAGGAAATGAATGTGCTCTACTTAGAAGAAGCGGGGCTGACAGTGGCGTAGATTTCAAAAGCTGAAGGTTTCCAAACAGAATGCTTCCGCTGCTAGACCGGAGCCCCATCCTTCAGGCTGGTTGCTCAGTGCCATGACTTCCACTCGGTCATAAATTGGGCTGGCGGCTCAAGGTTCAGGACTCATAAAATGGGTATTAATATCTGGACATAGCTTATTTGAAACTGAGTTGCAACTATCAGATATTTTCTATTCGTTTCAAAGTTGAAGCTTTAAACAATACTTCTATCTTCCGAGGTGAGAAAGTTTAATTCCCCTTTAGGAAACTTCATTACGTAGGAAGAACACACTTCACTCAGAGGAGCCACAGGATTGTCCTTTCTCTGACTTTTCTATTGCTATACATACACAGAAATCTTGGCTGGGGACATTAATAATGGGACCCAGATACAGAACTGAACCTGGCTTCTTCCAGAGCGATAAAAAGAAACACACATCCTAAAAATCTGCCTGTTTTCAAGGGCAATTGGGCCAAACTAGAGACCACTGGAATCGCTTGTCCTTGTTACATATAGCAGAATCCTGGTTAAACATGACCTTCAACTGAAAGTTACTAGCTGGATTTCTTGAAGGCTAAAGAGATGCCCACAAAGAAGCTTGCTGATATTAGGCAGTACTGTTGGAGAATACTGCTACCACCACCTTTTTCCAGGGCTTGTGTTGAACAGCCCAAAAGGCATCTTAGCACAAGCTAGAAAAAAGGTGCCCCTTTCTTGGGCAGACACACTCCATGCTGGAGATGGACCTAAGCTCCACGCACCCTCCCAGCTGGATGTGCCTTGGACGAGGTATAACCTGCACAACTGGGTAGTCTTGTTGAGGTAATTATAATGAAGTGGTCTTGTTGTTGAGGTAACCGTAATTTCAACAGCAGTGCTTTACCGTTTATTTGCTATAGAACTGAACTGAGTCATGATCAGTTAAGTGGTGGTTAAATAATGATCATGAACCAAGGAATTTTTTATGAAAGAAAAAATGATATACTTGGGAAACATTTTCAAATACAATGGAAATGAAAGTCATATTATTAAAGACTAAAAATAATTAGAACCTCCCATTAGCCAAGCTTCCTGGTTTTACTTATTATCCTACCTTGTTCCAAAAAGAGGATTTAAGAGTATGAAGCATTCCAGGTAATGAGGGTCTCACTGCATTGGTTTCCTTCAAATCTGAAGTTACTGTTTTTTATAGTCTCTATCATTTTTTCAATAAATGAACTGCAACTATCTTGTGCTAGCTCTTACTAACTTTTATGATTTTTTTTTTTTTTTAAACAAGCTGAGGTACAAGTGAGTGCAGAAAAGTGTTAACAAGCCTGAGTCTGTTATCTTTAGAAAGGTCTGCATGCAAGGCTGGCCCTTGGCTGGTGTCCAAGAATGTGGCTTTTGAAACATTTCCTCACTTATAAGGTTATTTTGTCTGTCTGGGACGCTGAACAACTGCTTTCCTTTTGGGAATACGAAATTTTGGTGGGCAAGGAGTGTCTATATGACAAACCACCAATGAAACCCCGAACTCTTGAGTCTTAAATGGGGTTACCTAGGTATAATCATTGTACAATTCTGACTACATTATCACTACTGGAGAGAAGGTGGGCTCTGAGTGATCTCAGAGGAACGGAGGGAACACAAAAACCTGCACATGGATTCCCCAGACCCTGCCTGATGTTTTCCCTTACTGATCCACCTGTGTATCCTTCTATGTCACTGTAATAAGTCTTAGCCCTAAGTATGACTATATGCTGAGTGCTACGGGTCCTAGTAAACCACCAAAAGGGGTGGTCTGGGATCCCTGAAATACTAATATAGAATAAAATGTACTTTAAAAATTTTTTAAAATTTTACTTTAAGTTCTAGGCTACACGTGAAGATCTTGCAGGATTGTTACATAGGTATACATGTGCCATGGTAGTGGTTTGCTGCATACATCACCCGTCATCTACATTAGTTATTTCTCCTAATATTATCCTTCCCCACCCCCTGATATCCCTCCCCTAGCCACCCATCCCCCAACAGACCCCAGTGTGTGATGTTCCCCTCCCTGTGTCCATGTGTTCTCATTGTTCAACACCCATTTATGAGAACAAGAATTGTTTGGTTTTCTGTTCTTGTGTCGGTTTGCTGAGAATGATGGTTTCCAGATTCATCCATGTCCCTAAAAAGGACATAAACTCATCCTTTTTAATGGCTGTGTAGTATTCCATGGTGTATATGTACCACATTTTCTCTATACAGTCTATCTTTGATGGGCATTTGGGTTGGTTCCACATCTTTGCTATTGTAAATGGTGCCACAGTGAACATATACATGCATGTGTCTTTAAAACAGATAGATTTATAATTCTTTGGGTATATACTCAGTAATGGGATCGCTGGGTCAAATGGTATTTCTATTTCTAGATCCTTGAGGAATTACCCCACTGTTTTCCACAGTGGTTGAACTAATTTATACTCCAAAAAACAGTGTAAAAGTGTTCCTATTTCTCCACATCCTCTCCAGCATCTGTTGTCTCCAGATTTTTTAATGATTGCCATTCTAACTGGCATGAGGTGGTATCTCAATGTGGTTTTGATTTGCATTTCTCTAACGACCAGTGATGATGAGCATTTTTTCATATGTTTTTTGGCCTGATATATGTCTTCTTTTGAAAAGTGTCTGTTCATATCTTTTGCCCACTTTTTGATGGGATTGCTTTTTTTTTTCTTGTATGTTTTAGTGCTTTATAGAGTCTGGATATTAGCCCTTTGTCAGATGGGTGGATTGCAAATATTTTTTCCCATTCTGTTGGTTGCCAGTTCACTCTGATGACTGTTTCTTTTGCTGTGTAGAAGAACTTAAGTTTAATTAGATCCCATTTGTCTATTTTGGCTTTTGTTGCCAATGCTTTTGGTGTTTTCGTAATGAAGTCCTTGCCTATGCCTATGTCCTGAATGGTTTTGCCTAGGTTTTCTTTTAGGGTTTTTATGATGTTAGGTCTTATGTTTAAATCTTTAATCCATCTGGAGTTAATTTTTCTATAAGCTATAAGGAAGGGGTCTAGTTTCAGCTTTCTGCACATGGCTAGCCAGTTTTCCCAACACCATTTATTAAACAGGGATTCCTTTCCCCATTGCTTATTTTCATCAGGTTTGTCAAAGATCAGATGGTTATAGATCGGTGGCATTGCCTCTGAGGCCTCTGTTCTGTTCCATTGGTCTATATTTCTGTTTTGGTACTAGTACCATGCTTTTTTGATTACTGTAGCCTTGTAGTATAGTTTAAAGTCAGATAGTGTGATGCCTCCAGCTTTGTTCTTTTTGCTTAGGATTGTCTTGGCTATGTGGGTTTTTTGATTTCATATGATGTTTAAGGTGAGTTTTTCCAGTTCTGTGAAGAAGGTCAATGGTAGTTTGATGGGAATAGTATTGAATCTATAAATTACTTTGGGCAGTATGGCCATTTTCACAATATTGACTCTTCCTAACCATGAGCATGGAATGTTTTTCCATCTGTTTGTGTCCTCTCTTAAGTGTAAAATTAGACACCTTTTGACATATATATATATATATAGCCATGAAGCCATCACCACAATGAATATAATTAACATACCCAGCACGCTCAAAAGCTTCCTTGTACCCTTTTTAAATCCATTCTTCCAGTCCCTTTTTATGTCACCCATTGCTAGGGAACCCCAATCTCCTTTCTGTAACTATACACTAGTTTAGTGTGAATCTTCTAGAATCTCGTATGAATGTAATAATTTAGCACATGGAGTGTATGTGAATGTGTGTGTGTGTGTGTGTGTGTGTGTGTAAATATAGCTTCTTTCATTTGGCATAGTCAAAAGAGATTCATCTACTTGTGATATACACTAATAGTTCAGTCCTTTATTTGGCTGGATGGTATTCTGTTGTGTGGTTCATACCACAGTTTACACATTCACCTGCTAAAGGACATCTGGATTGTTTCAAGCTTTTGGCTATCACAGATAAGGCTGCTATAAACTAAATACATGTTTACAAGTCTATGCTACTTTCTTTCTCTTTTCTTAAGATAAATATCTAGGAGTGGAATGAGTGGATCATGTACTAGGTGTATGTTTAACTTTTTCAGAAACTTCCAGATTATTTTCCAAAGTGCTTCTGCCATTTTACATTCCCATCAACAGTATATGAGACGTCGAGTTCTTCCACATCCTCACCAACACTTGGTAGGGTCAATCTTCAATTTCAGTAATTCTAATAGGTATTATTAATAGTGGCATCCCATTATGGTTTTAATTTGCATTAATAACTAATGTGCTTATTGCCATCTGTATCTCTTCCTAAGCAAAAAGTTCAAATTATCTGCCCATTCCAAAAAAAAAAAGGTTATTTTCTTACTATTGAGTTTTGAGAGTTATTTATATATTCTACATACAAATCTTTTATTAGATATGATTTATAAATATTTTCTCCCAGTCTGTGGCTCAGCTTTTCATTCTTATAAGTGTCTTTTGAAAAAGAGAAGTTTTCATCTTGATGAAGTCCAATTCATCTATTTCTGATTTAATGGATCATGCTTTTGATGTTCTATTTAAAATATTTTTGTGGCCAGGCTGGTAGCTCATGCCTGTAATCCCGGCACACTTTGAAAGGTTGAGGCAGGCAGATCACTTGAGGTCAGGAGTTTGAGACCAGCCTGGCCAAAGTGGTAAAACTCCGTCTTTACTAAAAATACAAAAATTAGCTGGCATGCCGTCTTTACTAAAAATACAAAAATTAGCTGGCATGGTGGTGAATGCCTGTAATGCCAGCTACTCAGGAGGCCGAGGCATGAGAATCACTTGACCCAGGGAGGTGGAGTTTGCAGTGAGCCAGGATCATGCCACTGTACTCCAGCCTAAGCAACAGACTGAGACCTTGCCTCAAAA